TCCTGCTCTATTAAAAAGAAGGTTGAGATAATAATAGATGGAGATAAGTATGTAAAACACCTGGTAAGTATTCAAAGAACAGTAGTCGAGTAAGTGTTGTTAGCCTTAAAGAAAGTCGCAACCTGAGAGAATATTTTTAGGATTAATCAACTCAATTGTCAGGAATCAGGTGGGGTCTGGTCCAGGGCCATTTGGGAGAGCAAAGGCCCTAGATGAATAGGGATATGGCCAAGGATACTATAGAGACACTGAGGACTCCGAATCCTAAGAAAAGAGTCGGGGAGGGGGAGGTAGAGAATTGAGCTACATTAATGGGAATGGGAACTTTCTAACAGAAAACAGGTAGCCTTCCTCAGCAGGTGATGCTCCGTGAAGGAGTGAGAGCTGATGCCACGAGTACTGAAGCAGAAATGGATGCTAGCATTTCTAGCCAGGCTCCTGACATGGATAATGCTCCTCATCAGCAGCAGACATAACGCTTAGTAGTAGGCAACTGTTGTAGTGTGAAAATATTCCACAGGAAGACATGGGGATAAGGTAGGGACAGTCAGCAAGTTACTCATCATGGAAAGACATTTGACGCAATTAGGTTCAGCAATCTGGTTCTCAGCTTTGAAAGCTTTGAAATTTAACTGGTAGTATAACCAGAGTCTGGGCTCCTGGGGACTGACTCACAGTTAACCAAATTCACAGGAGACCAATATGCAAGTCAGAATGCCAATTGATTAATTTATAATGAGAAGGGTAACTTCCAAATGGACCTGATACTAGTGTTTGCTGATGAGTGCATTATCTCCCTGTAGGCACATTTACAGGAGAAGCTAAATGATAATAAGAAGGTTGCTTGGTGAGTATGGACTCAGAGCAAGGGGATGCTTAATGGTTCACGTCATCAAGCCGTGGTAGCCTGATGTCTCCATTTCATAAGAAATCTGATGACAGTAGCCTCCTAACTAGTCTGTTACCAGTCTTGTCTTCATAACAATCGGGGTGAATTTTTAAACTAAGATCTGTTATATTATTCTTATGTTCCACTAGCTTCAATATAAATCCACAACTTAGGGGATGGCTTACAGGGTTCAATGGTTAAGAGCACTGGCTGCTCTTTCAGAGGACCTGGGTTCAATTCCCAGCACCCTTGTGGCAGCTCACAACTACCTGTAACTCCAGTTCCAAAGGATCTAAGACCATTTTCTAACCTTCATTAGCACCAGGCTATGATACACATACATACATGCAGGCAAAACAAACATTCACATTAAAAAAATTAAAATTTACAATTTAAACTCATTAATTACAAAAAGTATAAAAAATACACAGACAAGAAAAATAATTTAACACCTATATGCCCACAATTTAGCAACAGTTTGTCAAATTTGCTTCGTGTGAGTTCATAGGGGATATGCAAGCTGATTCTGCACATTTCAAACTTTTCATGTCCCACACACTTGACTAATTTCACTTTCCTTATCTCGCCTTTTGTAGTAAAGTGTGTCTTCCCGGGAGCGGGGCATGGCTCATCCCGGGAGCGGGGCATGGCATCTCTCTCAGGCATCTGCTCCCAAGAGGAGAGATGTCGAGACTCTGACCTCACTTCCTCTTCCTCCCAGCATTTTGTTCTGTTTACTCCTCCCACCTATCCTCTAACCAATAAAACGGGCCAAGGCAGTTCCTTTATTAGCCAGTGACCTTCCTCCATCAGCCTTTGGTAGCTTATATCTGAATGTTAGTCCCCTGATTATTCTCTGCTATTCTCATATACGGATACTTGTGCCTGAATGTCATCTTCACCCTCTTTGTTTAAGGAACACCTAAGCTTTACTAGATTATACTGTTCATTATTACATATGATTATTATCTGCCTATCTCTCCGACTCGCCTACTAAATAAACCCTGACGCTATTTAGAGCAAGAATGTTCCCTTTATGCCTCTGCCTTCTCAGTTTCTTACATTTAGTAAGTGTTCAGTAATAAGAAAAGCCAATGACCTAGTACACCCTTCTACCTGGTTATATTACACACAGTTTGAAATTAACACATCTAAAGGGAACTTCTCTTTCTTATCAACTGTTCACAGTTTAAGGCGGCTTCCTGTACTGCCTGACTGGATGCATCCAGTCTTTGGAAAGGAAGACTATTCCTCCCCTCTGTTCCATCCCTCAAAATGAGTGCCATGGATTTGGCCTTCACAGTGAATCCCCATTCTGCCCACATCTCTTGTCTACTGTCCAGGCTACCTTCATTTCCCACTTGGAGTACTGCCAAAAATCTACCTCAGCTCCCTGATACTACTCTCGTTCCTTTCAAACTGTTATCTACAGAGAAGCCATAATGATCTCTAAATTGCAAATCTGATATTACTCTCTGTTTAAATCCTGATTATATTACTTTTTTGGATCAAATCCAGACACTCCCTAGCTTTACTCCAAATACTCTGAAGGTCTGGCCTTCAATTTTATCTTTTTTTTATTACTTACTTTTTTCAGTGTTGGGGATGGACCCAGAACATCCCTTATGTTAGTCAAGTTTCCTACCACTGAATTTCATTCTCAGACTTCTAATTTTCTCTCGTATGACCTTCTGTTTAACGCTCTAGGTTTCAACCATTTTGCACTTAGAAGGCCTGTTGTAAGTGCCGGTTTCCAGCACTTCTATTTCAGGTCAATGTGCCTTCTCTTGTGTTGGTCTTTGCCTAGAAAGACTCATTAATTCTCTTGAGCTCAGCACAGTTATATACTTTCCCTGATTTCCTAGTCTAGGTTAGGGAGCTTTTCTCTATTACCCACTATTGGCCTGTGTAGACCTTTATTATAGAGACAGTACCATAGGCATATGTTACTGAGCATATAATGATTGCTTATTACTCTTCAAAGTTAATTTCATGAGCTTTTTAAAATATTTTATTAGACTTAAATTGAATTCATAGCACATAATAGATGTGAGATAAATATTTAAATACTAATAAATGGAAAATATGAATTAACATCTCTCCATATTTAGTTTTGTAGATACTTTACAAATATCACCTTTCTTTTGAACACATTCTCTTCAAAGAACAATGAGGTTGATTTTCATTCAAGTAATATTGCTTAATTATATTTTGAGTGTTCTTTATTAACAAACTCAGATAATTTCTGGAATTATACTGTTTCATATAAATGATACTATTCTGCTTTTTGTTTGGCTATTTTAAATCTCAAAGATTAGTAGCATTGCTATCTGGGGGAGTATTTTTCTATGGTTCCCATACGTACTCCAAGCAGCTCCTACGGTTCCTTTTAACACTCAAGGTTCATGTTACCCAGAATACTCACTTGCATTTGAGATGGTGTTCAATAGAAGGTGCCAATTTTCCTCTAGGTTTCTCTGAGGCCCTGAGGATATCAAGAAGAGAATAAAGCCATGCTTAACCTTGGCAAATACTATAACTTAAAATGCTGGGCCGCAGATTTGGAGAAGAGAGGGTTTAGGAGTGATATGCTAGAAATTAGACTGAACGAAGAAGCCTGAACTCGTAAACATTATTGTCTCTGATTATTATTGCAAGGCAACAACCTCAATATTATAGAGATCTTGGGCCCCTAAACTTGTCCAGTAATAATATTTAACATACTTTTCATGCTCTGCTAAGCAGGGTCCTAACTGATCTATAGGAAGACTTTCAATCATTTGAACAATTCCATGAGACCATCACTATTATTCCCATTACAACTTATGGAGAAATTGAGACATAGAGAAGGAAATTCCAGAGGTTCAAAGTTATTAAGAAGATGGGCCTGGTAGCACACGTCTACTGTAATGTCAACTAGGCAAGAGGACTGCCCCAGCTTTGAATCTGGCCTGCTCTAATTAGTCCTAGGCTGATCAGGGCTACATAGAGAGACACTATCATAATATCAAAACCATTAATTCTGAACTGCCTGTCACCAGGTATATTAATTCAGCTTATTACCACGCACAATTTTTGAGAATCCACCCATAAGTGTAGTCATTGATAGTGTTGATAGAAATGTATGCTGAAACAGGAATAAATCATATCCAGAGAATTGTCCAGGTGGGTGAGCCTCATTCTGCTTGCTGTCAAGAGAAGAAATGTAATCCAGTTAAGATCACAAATTATGCTGGAGTATCAGTTAGGTCAAACCTGCTTTGTGGAAGGTGAAAAAAAGGGCTTGACTTGGAGCTGTGTGAAGACAGAGGTTCTGTTTTGACTATCCAGACTGTTTGCTAGTGGCATCTGGTGCAGTGTGTTAGCCTGGGGTAATTGTGGGAAAGGCACTCTCACCCAGAATAGTGCTTGCTGAGATCAGGTAAAGAGAAATGTACCATTTGTGGCCACTAAGAAAATAATTAAATAAAGGGAGTAATGAGGACTCCTTTTGCTTGTCCTTCCTGTAGAAACCAAGAAACAGCTAAGCCCAGCACTATCCAACTATTCAGAACTCGCACCCTTTGGACCTGCAGCTTTTCAGAAGTACTTTCCCATTCTCCTACCTAATAGCCCAAACTCCCCTTCAGGCGACTGAGAGGGAACAAGGCATTCCTGCCTTTCAAAGGGGACTCTTCTCCGAATCAGAACTGAAAGCTCATAATTGGCGCATTCTCAAGCTTCTTGCCATCACATTCTTTCCAAAGACGACCCGACACACCTGACTGCCCAACCTCTGAGTCTCTCGCATAACGCTTTCCCACCCTGTGACCCTTTTAAGAGGCGGATCCCGCAGTGTCCTTTCCTCTCGCTCTTTCTCTCCCTCGCTCTCCCAGCCACCTCTACCCCCAGCCGGCTGGGCGGAGCTTCGCGCTAGCGTCCCAGAGCCCAACGCTTGCTCGGCAGTCGTGAGCCAGCATCTCTAGCGCTTTGAGGCAGGGAGCTGCGTCTGCAGTAGCCCGGCCGCCACTGCTGCGTGCCCGCCGGCAGCAGGCGACCTCCCTGGCCGCGGACCGGCTGCTGGCCACAGGCTCCCCACCGGACTCGCACCTAGCCCTGGGTCAGGGTCTCCCGCTGAGCGCGCACTATGGGGACCCAGGTCGACAGCCTCAGCGGAGGTTGCCGAGCTGCCAGGCTGCTGGCTTGGGGCTTCCTTCTGGCTCTGAGTCCGCACGCACCCGGTTCCCGGGGTGCCGAAGCTGTGTGGATGGCGTACCTCAACGTGTCCTGGCGGGTTCCGCACACCGGAGTGAACCGCACGGTGTGGGAGCTGAGTGAGGAGGGCGTGTATGGCCAGGACTCGCCGCTGGAGCCCGTCTCCGGGGTCCTGGTACCGCCCGACGGGCCCGGGGCGCTCAATGCCTGTAACCCGCACACCAATTTCACCGTGCCCACGGTTTGGGGAAGTATGGCGCAAGTGTCTTGGTTGGCCCTCATCCAACGCGGCGGAGCTTGCACCTTCGCGGACAAGATCCATCTGGCTTCGGAGAGAGGGGCTTCTGGAGCTGTCATCTTTAACTTCCCTGGGACCCGCAATGAGGTCATCCCCATGTCTCACCCTGGTGAGTGCAGCTACTAATTTGCACCTCTTCAAACCTCTTCCTTTGACCAGTTTCCCCAGTTTGCCTCACTGCTCCCCTTGCCTCCCCTAATCCCCTTGTGGGAAAGAAAGCGGCTGCCCTTTTTTGCCCCTACTTAGTAGAGCAGGGTCCTCCCAAGATTCGCCAGGTGTGGGGGTTGGGTGCAAAAAATTCCTTTAGAATTTAATTTGCCTCTGGTGGAAAAGGGTAAGACAAACGGGAGGGGGGGAGGGGACGACACTGAGGCTGGCACAGCTGGGGCTTTTGCGTCTTTTCCTGGTGTTTCACGAGGGTGCTTTGCCTAGGATTAAGGGTGTGGGAGGAGTGGACATTGGCTTTTAAACTATGAGGACAGAACATCGCCTGGGAATCTCTTTGCAGTATAAAAACGGATTTTTTTTCCTGTCTCGGGTTTCTCTTCACGTTTCCTATGTATCAAGTACGAGATTATGTTACAGTACTGGGTTAACCTCATTGCAATTTTTGTGGAAACTTTAGCTTTGGAGTTCTCTGCCCAGCGGTCTTGGATCCTGAGCACTTCTTATTATCAGTGCTTTTGTTTGCCTTTTGACAAATCTGATTTAGGTTCTTGAGTTCCAAAGCAGGTGATTAGTGTTACTGAAAAAATAAAGGCCCAGACTTTGTCAAAGTAGTCCAGGTACTTCTGAAATGTGTGGGCATGGCGGGGGTGACTATTTTACCCCCTTCTAGAAACCCCCTTTTGTGATTTGTGATCCCTGGGCCCCGAAGGACAAAGAAAAAAAGAGCCAGGGTGAAAAAAAAGAAAGAAAAGACAAGTAAGAGTGTTTCCTGGCTGTTAAGAGCTGGGCCTAAAGTCAGACCTTGACTCAAATTTCTGCTCCAGCTCTTACTAGTCCTGTGACCTTGGGCAACTTATCTTAACTCGAGTCTCCGTTCCCTCAGTCAAACCAGGCACAATGACAGGAAGCCAATCATCCACGTTTGCCTCTAGGGTAAAATGAAATCGAACCTTCAAGCATCTAGGACAGTGCTACCAAAGGTCAGCAGATAGGGAGAATTCTTTGTGAGTTCCTGAAGAAAGGAATTTAGTTATTCAACTGCATGAGAATTTGCGTTTTGCTTATGATAGTACCACTGGCCCTGGCTGGAGAGCACTTGCGTGGAGTGGAGGTGGTGTAGAATTGGAAAGAGCACTGGACCGGAACTCAGGCATTCTGAGTTCCTTTAAGCCCCTTTGCTTGGCTCAGCTTTGTGACCTTGTGCAAGTTATGCTTGGAATGGTAGTGTAGGTATAGGGGGTGGGCCCCGAGCTGGCAGAGTGTGCCGAGATACAGCGGAGACGAGAGAACACTATGGTCTGGATCAGCTCTGAAATGCTGCAGTTCTTAGATTTAGTATATTGATTAAGAGAGCAAACTGCATCCTTTCTAGATGATGATACATTGATTAGAATGCAATTGCCTTTTAAAGGCTACTAAAGTTGAATAATGAAGCTTAGGAAAATTTAAAAGTCTTTATTTGGCTATCTGATTTTACAAGGATTTGACTTAGTCTTCTCCAAATGAGATTCATTTGCATGAGTGATTTCCAGTTGAATAATATGTTTTATTTTAAAGGCTTCCTTGTTAAACTACTTAACTCCTGTTAAGGATATTTATCTGGGAGTTTTAGGAGACAAATTACCTTTTATTGAGCTCCTACTATGTGCTAGACTATCGACATAGGCATTATTATTTATTGACAGGCCCCATGGTGTAGGAGGAAAAACAGATTGTAATCAAGATTGGCAATCCAATTATGGATTTAACACACAAAAGCTTTGTGACCTTGGACAGATAATTTAACCTTACCGAGTCTTGATTTCCCCATCTATAAAATGGAGGTGATATTTCTGGAGATGCTTGCTAAGGATAATAGATAAGCCAGGTAGCAGATGAGGAAGAGCCATAAATGTTAGTTGTATAATAGATTAGTGATAAGAGGAAGCAAAGAGTGAATGCACAAATGTATGATTATTCAGTTACCAATGTGAAGACATTGATAGCCTAAAAATCTGATTAGGTCTATTATGCTTCAGGAACTCAAATAGGAATAATGAAAGTTACAAGTGTAAGGTAAGATTCGGATACTTTGGAAGGTTTTTATTTCCCAGATCGATGGGAGAACAGATACCCCTGTTATGCTAACTACCCTGACTATCCAAAAAGCTTTTGAGGCATAAAATGACATCTCTCTCTTAAACTTCTAGAGAAACTACTTTGCAGCACAGGGAGAAGCCACTGTGCTCAGATTTGCTCGTGACTATTCGGAGAGTACTACGCTATTTGCCCTTCTCTCTCCTGAGAACAAATCTAGGGCTTTCTTTTAAACATCTGGCTTAAAAAAACGGCTTGTATCCTAGTGGGGGATAGGTAGGACTGAGTTTTAAGTCCTTGTGGATTGCACAGGGGGCACCAAAAGTGGAAAAGCCATGGCTGTCTCCTTTGTTTACAAACTCTGTCTTCACAGACTCTCCCGGGGGCCACACCGGAATTATTTGCCCTTTGAATTTGTACAGAATTTCTATGCTCTCCCCTGTCATAACCATAAAATGTTAAACATGCATTGCTTCAAGGAACTGAATGAAATAAGTGCTTTAAAACCAGGGCTTTTGTTTTTGTTTTCTTGTTTTTTTAGAGGCAAGATCTCACTGTAGAAGCCCAGAGTGGCTTGCTACACACCCTGTAACCCAATGAGCTCAGGCAGGTGTTGAAAACTCCTGATCCTACTGCTTCAGCCACCCAAGTGCTGGGATTAAAGGCCAGTGCCATTTATTTATTTATTTACTCCACTCATTCATTTGTGAATTCCTTCGTTCATTCATTTTGAGAAAAATTTTACAATATATGAGCAATCAATTAAGAAAATGAAGCTATTTTTAAATAGATTTCAAAATTTCATAAAAAGGTGATCTACTATTAGCTGGGCATGGTGGTACAGGCCTTTCATCCCAGAGGTCTTTGGATCTCTGATCTCTGAGTTCAAGGCCAGTCAGGGCTGTGTACAGAAAACTTGCCTCGAAAAACAAACAAACAAACAAATGAACAAACCCACCATAGGTCTGCTATCAACCCGTGCAATTTATGTTTGTATTCTATTTTGGTTACAAACTATAGAGAAAACCCCCCCGCTCATCCAGATACCATCATTGCAAAGGCTACATGTGAAGTGATAGCTTGTTGCGGAATGCCTGCGTATATACTTCAATTAAATCGATCCAGAAACCTAGATAAAAATTCTGAGGAGAATTTGATAGCAAAGTTTAATTATTCAGAGTCACTTCAAATATGAAAATCAGATGAGAGGCAGCCAAAATGTAGAGTAAGCCCTGAAGCCATCTAAAATGTAGATGGATTTTTCACGCTGAAGAATGAGAAGCATGCTTTCTCTATGGCACGGCTTACTGTTCTTTCACAGATCAAGCAGATGGGCCTAAGCCTTGCCTGCTGTCTAATTGAGCACAGCCTACGGGTTGAAGTGATCTGTGTACTTGCTTGTACAATTTTCCTTGCGTCAATATGGGCAGGCATGGATTTATTGAAGGGCCCGTGCAGAGCTACACGTAACCTTCATAGTCTGGGACACGTTTACAGGGACTTAAAACATATGCAAGGAGGTGACAGGAGAAGCGTTGTTCCTGAAGGCTTTATTTAAAAAAGAAAATAATGAACTAAACAGTGTAAGTTAATGATTCGGTGCTCTTTGATCAAACAGTTTGGTATAGAAAGGTTGCTTGTATGCTTTGTTGAATGAGAACGTAGTGCAGTAGTTAAGAGGATGGGCGCCTGCCCCTTGCTATTTCTAATCTCTAGGGCAGTTATTTTAATTCTTAATTCTCTCTTCTATATGATAGAGATAAAGCATTTTTAAAAACCCCCTTAGGTTGCTAGGATTGAATGAGATAGTGCCAATGGCATGTCTTTTTTCATCCCAGTAGGCTAGTTAAATGCATTTTATAAAACAAAACTTGAGTCCTATGTTTAGAAAGCGAAATTTGAAAATGAGCCGCCTTCAGTACTTCAAAGTCCACATAACTCAAAATCTTAACTTAAACCCTCTAGGCATAGAGTAGATCAGGCACAATTTTTTTTTCACAAGGAAAAACTTTTGATCTTCCAAGCTTTGACATTCTTTTCTTTAATAGCTTCTTCTCAGTTAAGCTACCAATCTTTTCTCCCCCCCCCCCATCTAAAAAGCACTTTGAAATACTGTTTGTTTGTTTGAGCTGTCTCACTCAGTAGACCAGGCCTGCTTCAAACTCCCAGAGATCCACCTGCCTCTGCCTGCCTAATGCTGGGATTAAAGGTGTGTGCCACCACATCTGGCCCTGAAATGCTGTGTGTTACTGAATTATTACGGTCCCAATTCCTGCTTGACTCTTTCTTTTTTCTTTTCCTCTAGAATAGCAACTTTCCCAGTCGAATAAGCTGGTTGAAGGATTGGGTGGTGGTGATTTGCCAGTGTGCAATAACACTGCCATTTCCAGATGTGGTCTGCATGTCTCTGCGGTACTATATTAGACACTGGGCTCTTGGCTCGAACTTCTCCGGTCTCTTGCTTCCCTGTTTTATGAGCTCATTCACCTACTACTCTTTTCCATTGCACTGTGCGCTTCGCAGCTCCCCCCTCTTTTATAAACAGCTGTGGCAGCAAGCTGATGCTCTCTCTTTAAATACTGCCCCACCATCCCCTTCTGTCTTGTGATAGATAATTAATACCCTGCATTCAGTTCCCACGGCTTCTCCGGAAGCAGCAGTCAGCTTCCTGATTGGTGTCCTTGCCTCCAGTCATTTTCTTCCTGCACACACTTCTTCCGTGTTGCCACCAGGGCCTGGATCACATACCTGCCGTTGCTTATACACTTTACAACTCGCTGCTCAGCCCAGCGTCCACAACTGAATGAACTGGTCCCAGAGGACTTTGAAAGCTTTAGATTCCTCTTCTCTCATTGACGTCAAAAA